CGATGCGGCGCTCCAGCTCCTCACGGCGCCAAGTCTCACGGTTGACCTCCCCCTCAAGCAGATAAGCGTGCTCCTGCACCATCTGCAGTTGCGCTAGATCTCGCTCACCGAGATCGTAGCTGCGCTCCAGCTGCCTGCGGAGAATTATCTTCTCGCGCTCCCGCTCCTCACTGCGCGCAGTTTCAACGCGGAGCTCCCCACAAAGGCCCGCGATGAGACGCCGGTAGTACAGACGCTCGGCCTGGAGCAGTGCATCCTCGCGAGGCCGCATGTAGGGAGGCCGCTGGGCCATCAGAGCAGCCACAAGGCAGGGAACGTCCTCGTCCACGCGGTGGGCTTCTCCAGAAGCCACGCCTGCACGCATCGGAAGGCCGCTGAGGAAGTCATGATAGCTTAAAGTGGCTGCGCGGGTTTTTTTGAGTCCATTCAAGCATTTGGGACCATTCGAGCATTCGGCGGGCTTTTTTTCTTTAGCGTGTTCCCCTTGCCCTGTCCAAATCCTCCTCAAGTTCATCAACGCGCACCTCCGCCAGCACCGCTCGCTCGCGAAGATCTTCGTTCTCTTCCCTGAAGACCTCGACGCGGCGCTCCAGCCGCCAGCGGAGAATGTCGATGCTGCGCTCCAGCTCCCCAACGCGCTTCTTAGCCCGCGCCGCTCGCTCACGCTCTTTGTCGAGGAGATCGTTGAGGCGGTCCAGCATCCAGCGGAGATTTCTGTTGTCGCGCTCCCGCTCCTCACAGCGCAGAGTTTCATCGAGGAGCTCCTCATTCATCGAGGTGCGCGAGCGCTCGGCCTCGAGCAGCGCGTCCTCGCGAGGCCGCTTGCAGGGAGGCCGCTGGGCCATCAGAGCGGTCGCAAGGCTGGGAGCGTCCTCGCCCACCCACGCAGCGGGCTTCTCCAGAAGCCATGCCTGCACGCATCGGAAGGCCGCTGAGGAAGTCATCTTGAGCAGCTGCGGCGGATCGAATAAGTATTATCGAGAAAGCGAGAAAGCGAGAAAACGAGAGCTCGGGATCTTTTTTTCGGTTCCGACAGTCTACGCCCAGCATCGGCTCAGCCGCAGCGGCAGTGTCGGAGCGGGCCCCAGAGGCGGGGGCCCCACGAGGAACTCCATCACGAGGTCGAAGGGCGCGGAGCCTGGCGGAGCGTAAGCGCCCAGCATCCGCAGCTGCTCCAGGTTGCGCCAGTGTCCCAGCGGGCGCGAGTTGTGAGCGTCGAGGCCGTAGACCTTGTCGTTGAAGGGCGAGAGGGACTTCTTCTCGACGGTCTCCACGGCGATCTCGTGCGCGCGGCTGCGCAGCTGCACGAAGGCCGCCCTGCGCTCGCTGCCTTCCTCCAGCACCTCCCTGTACTCGAGATGCCGGACGCTGGTCACCGCCTTCTTCGGCACGCCCTTGATCTTGCGCTTCTCCTTGCGCGCGCCGTCGGGCTGGACCGTGAGGATGCTGTACATCTTGGAGCGCAGGCCCACGTACTCCAGGATCCTGGCGGGGAAGGTCTCGTCGCCGAGCTTGCCCAGCTGGCCCATCACCTCGATGGCCTTGGCGCGCGCCGCTGCAGAGAGCGCGCTCAGGTCCCTCTCGGGGTCCTTGGACTTGCCGGCCACGTCGAAGAGGGCGGCGCCGTTCAGGTTCGCCTCGGCCATGGCGTGGAGCGGGTCCTGCAGCTCGAAGATCTGCACCATCACGGAGTCGGTGTCCGTGAAGAGCAGCCTCATCTTCGGGAAGAGCCTCCTCATGTGGAGGTAGTAGGCCTTCTCCATCATGAGCTTGGAGAGCTGCAGCGTGCGGGCGCCGACTTGGGTGGCCTTGCTGCGGTTCGTCTTTAGCGTCTCCACGAAGGCCAGGAACCCCTCCGAGTCGTTGATCTGGAGCTCGAAGTTCGTCACGGAGCTCTTGCCCACGGCCCGCTCGAACTTGGCCGGGTCCACGTAGGCGTTCGTGTTCCTGAACTTGTCGGGGTTCATGCAGCAGCGGCCGAAGATGGCGTTCTGGGTGAGCTTCACCACCTTCTCGGCGACCACGCTCCCCGCCGTCTTGAGCTGCCTCCGCTCGCTGTGCTTGAGCTCCATGAAGCCCGCCATGAAGGGGCTGCAGGCGAAGCGGTAGGCCCTGTGCAGCCTCCAGACCCTGGCGCCCAGCACGTCCCGCAGGAACTTGAGCCGCTTGCCGTCCACGCCCTCCTCTACGTGCATGCCGAGGAAGGGCACGAGCTTCTCGCAGGGCGACGGGGAGAGGCCGAGGCGCTCCGCCATGTCCGCCGTGTGCGGCCATTGCCATTGAGGGGGCTCTCCATTTTCAACATTCAGGGGTGTCCTTGTCAACTCAGCTCTCAACTCAGGTGGGCAGATTTGTTGCCCTGCAGACCGGCTCACGTCAAGTCAAAACTGACACATCAATGTGCTGTCGTGCTCAAGTCGTTTTTGGGCAACGAAGCAGGTGTAGCCACGCAACCTGACACAAACAGAATTCTTTACAAGGCAACCCCTGCACGTAATATCGCAATAGTTGATGTGTGCAGCGCCGAGGAGCCAGAGGGTTTGCAGGTTTGAGTTCCGGGGCCTTGCTATGTCTCAACTGTCGAATGTTGGAAAACCACTTGTAGTCTCGGGCTCCGAAAAAGCACGCTTGTCTATTCCCTCAGTCTTTGTTTGGACCACTTATTCCCTCCCAGTTGAACGTTCACTGATTTTGGGAACCCTGGGAAGACTAGCTTGCAGGGGTCAGAAAGTTGACAGTGCTTATTTGTATTTCCTAGGATTTCGGAGGAGACCAACAGGGCGGAGAACTAAGTTGGGCTTGAACGCTCCTAGAGGTCAAAGAAGAAACGTAGTCAGAGATGTCGGAACACTATGCTCTAGCCCTCTTGGCATTTTGGGAAGTCTGGGGTTTTGTTCGTAGGAGCCTAGCTCCAAACCCTGGCGTGGCCTTAGGGCCAGTTTTTTTTTGCAGGATGCCACGGCTCATGGGGGATTGAAGGAGGGGAGTTTGGACCCTACGAACGGAATTGCTATCCAATAGTTTTGGGCGTCCAAGATTCCTTGAAACGTGCAATTTGGTTATGCCTTGATGAGTTAGCCCCAACTGGGACCCCTTTTGGCGAGCAACCTTAATAAATGCGGGTTTGCCAAGTCTACCAACCTTAAACCAACCCTAGACCAGCCCCAAACCCACCCTAAACCCATCCTAAACCCAACCTAAACCAACCCTGCGCACGGACACACGGACACACACACACACACTCTCTTTCTTTTGGTGAGGGCACGTCGCAGGTACCGTGCTGACATCTCCTGCATGAAGTGCTTCACGGCATCCCTGGGTGGCTTTTGGGCCCTTGGATGGAAAAGCGCATTGAAGACACGCAGCCATGTAGTCAAGTAGTGACGTCAGCTCCCGTTGTGTTCTTGTTTTACTCCGGTACTTCAATACTAGGGTGGGAGCCCTACGATTTTGTCCCTCCACATCACTCCGGCACGAAAATCTCGTTTCGCAACAGGCGGGCGCTTGCCGGAACTGGCTGGTTGAAATTAAAGGGGAACGTCCAAGGAAACCAATCCTTCAGGGCACTTGTGCACAGCCAGGCAGCCAGGGGTTGAACCTAGATCGGTGGCATCCATGCTAATGAGATCTGCCCGCAGCCAGGTCACATCTGGCCTACTGAAAAGGTATTGTCTGCATATCGTTCCCGTGGCAACGAAACCAATCACCAGCCAAACCAATCAACAGCTCCAACCATTCCTCCCGAGTCGAAACCGGTGCGGCCTGATTAGAGACACAATCCTTTCTATTGGGAACCCAGGACTTTTCGCAACCTGATGTCGTTTTAGGGTGTCCCATCGAGGCAAACGTTTCCTGGGACCATCCCCCTGTTCCGCTTGGTTTTTGGGTGGTCGAGATCCCTTCGGCCGGGGCTCGTGACCCTCTGCATCTGCTGCTCGAACCTCAAATGCATCGGTCTTTCACTCTGTCTCCGGCCGTGCTTAAGAGAAAAGACCCCCATGTGGTTTGGTGTCGATGAGCCTCGTCCAAACCAACATGGGCAAGTTGGGGCTACCCCAAGCAGGGTTCCTTATATGTCCCCTTTCAACATCACTCCGCCAAAGCGAAACTAATCTAACACTTGCTCAAAAAGTTGCGTGTAAACCGCCTCAAAAGGGACATATGAGGGCTTATTTGAGAAACCCTGCCAAGTTCCGATCATTCCCCTCTTCCAGCAGGACACCTTTTGCGGAGAGTTGGGGTCATCTGGGCTCTCCAAATGGAGAGCCCCTAAAATGTCTCTCATTTTCTGTGGTGCTCCAGAAAAGGGTACCAACTTCAATATATATATATATAATGTGTAAGACTCTGCACTGGGATCACTGAATCCTCGTCCAATAACGTCCACGCCATCGGATTCCCGCCCTCTCGGATTCGAGGGAAGAGAGAAGAGGAGAGAGCAGCCCTCGGGCTGCTGTCGTTCGGAGATGGACAAGTTTGCTGGACCCCCCCCCCATGCGCTTTCAAGTTGAGGTTGACCAAACTGGCAGAAGTTGAGTTGGCCTTAGGCGCTTTATGTTTTTTGGAAACGTCCGTCTTCCAGCTGGAGCATACCTTGTACTGTGTCTCCGTCATAGTCTCCTTTTGTTTCCCTTCATGCTGTCCTCCTGTCTAGCGTCCTTGCATAGCCAGAAACGGTGTTTTCCTCTCGTCTTCATTCTTGGTAGTGTTCTTACGATAACCGAGACAGTTTTATGTTTGGCCGAGGCTGGTGTACTTTGTTCATAAGCGCGGCGATAGCTAATGAACAGCCACTGCTAATCAGGTACACATGGCATAGATTCAGCAACACATGTGCATGTGTGTTAACATCGCACACATTTCTTCAGGTCAAGCGATGCTTCAAGTTCTTTCCCTTCGGGAAGATCTGTCTGGCGAGGAAACAGTACGAAACAGTATGAAACAGTAGCGGCGCAGTCAGCGGACTCTGCCTTCTCTTGGAAACAGCAACTTCTGAGGGTCTACGCAGCCTCAGGGAGTGTTGCAGTGGCCAGAAGCTCATGATCGGGCTGGCCGCGTGTCTCAGCCAAAAGGAAAGTCCTTGTCCTGTAGATCTTCGCCACAGAGCTGTCCGGCCAGCGCTGCACCCAGCAAAGACCCAGAACTGCGCTGAGCACTGACCTGGCAACAGCTCAACCCTTTCCATGCGAATACAAGAACACTAGTCTTTTCTCGAAATTGGCACCATCACTTAAAGAACGAACATTTGGCTTCGCGTTGAAACAATCTGTTCGCCAAGTCGCATGTACCCGCCCAGCCGAGCCAACAACATGAAAATCTGCGGGTAGCGACCGATCTCCACTTCTTCCAGCACATGGCCATTGAGAATTTTCAAAGTGGCCTTGTACTTTTGATATGTCACGCCCTGCTCGAGGGCGGACAAAAGCTTGGGCGGGTACTTGGCGAGTTTCGCGAGTGCAGCTGGCCTCCATTTGCTCAAGTTCTGCGCTTCAATGCCCTCCAAGTCAAAGTCAGGATATGCGTACTGAAGCTGAGTGCTGTAGATGTCCTTCAACTCTGGAGACATAAGTGTGGAGAAAGCACTCAAGTAGAGAGATGGAGAGAAGATCTTGGAGGTGAAATTCTCATATTCGGGGTTGCCTGAGAAGCGTTTTGAGCCATCCCTCTTCTTCACAAAGTTCATCACTTGGTTGCCTGGAGTGAAGGCTGTAAGCGTTTGAAGTGGTACTTTCATGTGCTTGTCCGAGACCAGGAAAGGCATGGAATCTTTAACAGACCCGGCTGCAGTGTTGTGGCATTGACCAGAACACATTTTAGAGAGCCTAGGTGCGTATAGGCGATGTGTACCAGCTCCTCTCTTCCTTTCAATTGTTCGTGTTCAGATTTGTCCTTGGATAAAATGCATCCATGGCCGTGGGGGCTTGTTGCAGTCGCCGCCAACATGGATTCATTGATAGGCATGACCCCTGCCAGACTGCACTTTGCGAGCTTGGGATGCCCCTCCGGGCTGCAAAGCAGGAATGTCGGCAAGCTTCCCCAATCTGCCGACATCGAGGTTTGCATTGCCGGGGTCCCATCATGTAGGATGCTGTACGCCCTGCAGAGAAAGAACACAATCGGCATGAGATACAGGAGAATGACGCTTAGCCACGCACATGCCTTGTACTCCTTCACCACAGTCTCTGCAAACCAAGCCATGCTGAAAAAACACGCAAAGCGGGGGTAACAAACCTTTCCAAGATTCTATCAACTCAGATCACTGAACTTGAGCCCAGCTATGCATTGGAAGCCTGCTGCCTTCAGACCTTTCAGTCAGGAAGCATCTGCTACACGTGCTTTGCAAACAATTGTGGACACCTTCGCATGTCCTTGGCTAAAGCATTTTTTTGTGAACTGCGCTTCCGTTGAGGTGATGTAAGCATTTCGGCGTGAATGCTGCTTGCTTGTCTTACAAGTGCACTGCTCAGCATGTGCCTGCGATTGTTTACGCCGCGATCGATTCCGAGGCCTCGGATTCCATCGGAGGGGCGTGACCGCATCCAGGCGCCCCGCGGCGCGCTGCTCCGCCAGGCGCCCTGGCGAGTTCCTGCGAGCTGGTGAGCTGGTGAGCTGGCCGGCTCAAATCCGATCCAGGGAATCCAGGGCAAAACCCTGGTAGTGCGGTCTTATGCCAGGGTAAAAAGTGTTCATTAGCAGGGTGAACATAGATGGCACAATTCCTTTTCTACAGGTCAGGGGGAACATGAAAACAAAACGGGGGGAATTGCAGCATCTTTCACCCAATTGTTACCCTCCCACCCATGCTGCATGGAACCTGACTGGGGTGGAGAGGACCCTCTGGTGGGTCCCATGTTGGCAGGTACTTTGTCTCCAACAATCATGGAAGTGCGCCGGAAGAGGTTTGAAAACTACCATCTCAAAAAGGCCAGCAGCTGTCCGCACCAGCCCAGGACCCTCTGAGTTCATGTTGGGGTTTCGCCAGCCACTCAACAAAGAATCCAAAGGAAACCGCCCATGTTGGGTTCCCTCTGGAGAAACACGTGGCAAATTACCTCTCTTCCCAAGACATTGGAAAATTGGGTGGGCCCGATTGTTTTTGTGGGCAATTTGGGTGGCCCCCCCCTCCCCAAAAACAATAGTAGACTACCAGTAATTTTGGTCAGTTGCTCTGAGTGAGTCTTAGTCAAAACCTGGCATCAACGACCCAAAATCTTGCAAAAGATACTGGCGACTGGGACTGGAAACCCAAATTAAAACCAGTGCAATCCATCCATTGTTGATCAAACTGCCCCCCTAAGCGTTGGGACAACCACTTGTCTAAGCACATTACTGTTGAAACATCAACTCTGCTAGTGTTCCCTTTACAAGTGGACCGTGGATGGTTAAAAAACATGTTGGCCAACCCCAGAGTCTCAGTACTTTGATTAAAAAGTAATGGCCACAGCTAGCTGGATGCGCGACAGTCAACCTCAAGAGCATTCCTTTTGTCAGTGGGAGGCAGGGGAGCTTTTCAAAGCCGGACTTTGAGGCACCACTCACAAGGCCCCTGGAAACAGAACCCAGAACCTCGTTTTGACCCCGTGCCATTCCAAGCTTGACCTCTGTTTCCCAAGGGGATGTTCCCTCTAAGCGCGCTTTCCCTTTGCTTTCCCTTCGGAACAACCCAAAAAGGGTACCCTCAAGAAAAGACTACCAAGACAAAAACAAAAAAAAAGAGAAACGAAAATCTGCTTCCCGCCCATCAGAATGAAATTCCGAGGGATCTTCGTCATTTTCTCCCCATCCGCAAGTGGGCAAGGCGCCGGCGGCCAGCCAGGCGGGTCGCGCGCATCGCGGTCCGTGGACCACTTTTGGCTATGGATTTTGATAGTTGGAGCCCCCGCAAAAATGGTTGGTGGTCCCCGAATGATGTCTGCCCATTTTTCCATGTCTTGTGGGGGACACAAGTCATGTTTTCAGGTCAGCAATGGTCTATGTTCACTGTGACTGCGGCTCATGTCCTGTAGGTCGAAGTTTGCGTAAATTTGCCTACGGCGGATGTTAAACGGAATTCGGTTTTCCGTTTGGTTTCCCTAATGTTGAAATGTATAGCCCAATACGCATGGAGCCAAGCATGTCAAGCTCTGCTGTACAGAGACGACTGTTGATATATTTTGGCTCAAGAAAATAAGGCGCTCCGTAGCGGCCAATCAGATTTTCATGGTAGCGGGGAGCAGTAAAGGTTCAGAGGGACCTAAGAGCTCAATTTGGTACTTCGCTAGTAGAGGGCGAGAACCAGTACCGCCTTGGAGGCGGGGAGGCCGCGGAGGACGCGGAAACCGAACCACCCGAGGCCCCGGCAGAGGCCGGAGGAGTGGCAGAGCTGCCACACGAAGAGCCGCAACTAGGAGGTGCTGAGGTGGAGCCAGAGGAATTGGCTTCAGGACCGGACTGGTCGTCCGGCGAGGACACAGTTGCTCAACAAGCAGCTGAGACAGGGAGGATCCTAGCCAAGCTTTTGGAGGAGCAAGAGAAGGAGGAGCCGCCAAAGAAGAAGAAGAAAGCAGAGGAGGTGCAGGATAAAGTCCCAGAGCCTAAGAATCAAGCCACCGAAAGGTTGGATCACCAATAGATCAACCGAAGGGGCATCTGACTCAGAGGCCTGGGGTTCGGCTCCGGTCTCATCGCATCCGGAAGCAGCAAGCAGTAAGGCAGCATCAGCACCAGCAGCAGCAGCAGCTGAGGAGGAGGAGGCCCAAGCCCCAAGCAACAGCAGAGGAGGCCCCTGCAGCAGCTGAGGAGAAGCCCGAGGAAGCAAGCAAAGGAAAAGGTAAGGGCAAGAAAGGCAAGAAGAAGAAGAAATCGCCCTGGCAGGAGAACTCGGCAGGTAAGTGGAAGGACGCCCGCCGATCTAAGGAGAGGAGGACTTTCAGGTTCTTGAAAGGACTGGTCAAGTTGAACCAGAAGCACGACAGTCCGATCCCTCCTAAGGTCCAGGAAGCCTGCGATAAGTTCGAGGAAGAGTACGGCTACGCGGTGCCCACACCCAAGGGATTCAGCCACAACATACGGCCGAAGAGTCCCCCGGGAGGCCCAAAGCCAAGGGCAAAGCCGAAGCGGGAGTTGACCCGCCGCAAGCGAAAGCCGACAAGCAGCACTACAGAAGAAGAGGAGCCCACTGCCACAGCCACAGGAGCAGCGAAGGCACCGAGCACCGAGCCAGCTGAGGTGCTACCAGAAGTCGCCGCCGCGGCGAAGGCTGCAGGCCGCGTGATAAGTGTGGCGTTAGCCACGCAAGAGGCGGCACTGCGCAGAGTGCGTGCAGGCAAAGCCACCCCTGAGTCTGCACTAGCCAGAAACTACCGCCTGAGGAACGCGGCGATCGTTCAAGAAATCGCCGAGCGTAAATCACCGGCGCAGGGCACAGCCGGAGCAGCGATCAGGGCCCAGGTATTGGCCCGTGACAGCCTAGCAAAGGCTTGCAGCTCGTGCGACGAGAGGCGCCGCCTCCAATACCCCTGGGTATTGGAGCGCGCGCGGCGCATCGCGACCCAAGGCAAGGGCGCGAAGGGCGCGACGCCAATTGCGCCTGCTGCTGTCACTACTGCATCAAAGGCCCTTGCAGTGAACCCCAAGCCCGCGGCGAAGAAGCCGCCGCCTGTGCCCAAGGAGCACCCGGCGGCTTACGCCTGGGTTTCAGGATCACCGGTGAGCCTTTGCTTTTGGCCACTTCCTCACCCGGTGTTTCCTTGGGCTCCTCCTCCGGCTTAGCCTCTGTCTTCTCCTCCGGCTTCTCCTCTGGTTTCTCCTCCGGCTGGTCTTCTGGCTGCTCCTCTGGCTGCTGCTTGGGCTGCTGCTTGGGCTTGGGCTGGAATAGGAAATTCCCCGAAACGGATCTTTCCGCCTCCAACCCAGTGACCGCCTCTCCTGGGACAAACAAACAAAATTCCCCCGAAGACGGATCTTTCCGCCTCCAACAAACAACTACCACCAAAAAAAAAATCAAAAAACAAAGCAAGACCAAAAAAACAAACAAAACAAAAAAAAACAAAAAGAAAAACAAAAAAACAAAAAACAAGAACAAACAAATAAAACAACCCCAACAAAAAGCTAAACCCACCCCCCCCCTCCAACCCAACACGTGACCGCCGCTCCTGGGAATAAAAAAAAATCCCGATACCGAACGGCTCTTTCCACCTTCCACCCCCAGCCCCAGTACCGCCTCGACCTAGACACCAAGCTAGCAAAAGCGCTGCTGGAAGGGAACAAGAAATTTTGGAGACGGATCTTTCCATCTCCTGGGAATAGGAAATTCCCCGAGACGGATCTTTCCGCCTCCCCCCCGCCCGTGGGGAGGGAGGCGTGTTCTGGAGTGGCGTTGCTTTCCTTGCAGGTTTATCGTGGGGCATTGCTTAGCTCCATTCAGGGCTAGTTTGCTAGGTGGACATTGGCTGCTCCGGGTAAATAAAAACAACAATGCCAAGTAAGCCGAGGGTCTCAATCGGAAGAGGCGCTGCAGCTCTGAAGCTAGGAGGCCACGGGTTCGATTCCACCCGAGACGGATCTTTCCGCCTCCAGTCCGGTGAGCGCCTCTCCTTATAACTTTTATTCCCAGGTCCGAGACGGATCTTCCCGCCTCCAGCCCGGTGAGCGCCTCTCCTTAAAAGACTTTTATTCCCAGGTCCGAGACGGATCTTCCCGCCTCCAGCCCGGTGAGCGCCTCTCCTTAAAAGACTTTTATTCCCAGGTCCGAGACGGATCTTCCCGCCTCCAGCCCGGTGAGCGCCTCTCCTGGGAACAAGAAATTTTCGAGACGGATCTTTCCATCTCCTG